TGCATGTCTTCAAGAGAGAACCAGACAAATTTTTCAAAATGGTTCTTGTACAACCAAGCTTTGGTTCATACATTGGACTGTGTGCAAGCAGCAATAGCAGCCTGTTTGATCAAGTTTTTATCCACCACCAGGAGGCCTGGTCTGGGACTGGGCCTGGAGACTTAACCCCAGAAGCATCCTTCCAGATGCTGCAGCCACAAATATACAAGACTAAATAGATACTTATCACATAATGTGTGGAGAGGGAACTCCCACATAACTTTTGGTGTCTGAATATCACTGTGAATGACTGTCGTTATATACTAGCACACTAACACATTGCTCTTCATGCATACTATGTTCTCTGCATTAAAAGTTGCAAATGTAAAAATATTACTGAAAAGTTTTCATTAGTAGTTCACTGGATAGTTAATAAAGTCTTTTCCTCCACATCTTCCTTGTCAGGAGGTGGGTGTGGTAGACTCACCCCTGCATCTTCCTTGTCAGGAGGTGGGTGTGGTAGACTCACCCCTGCATCTTCCTTGTCAGGAGGTGGGTGTGGTAGACTCACCCCTGCATCTTCCTTGTCAGGAGGTGGGTGTGGTAGACTCGCCCCTGCATCTTCCTTGTCAGGAGGTGGGTGTGGTAGACTCGCCCCTGCATCTTCCTTGTCAGGAGGTGGGTGTGGTAGACTCGCCCCTGCATCTTCCTTGTCAGGAGGTGGGTGTGGTAGACTCGCCCCTGCATCTTCCTTGTCAGGAGGTGGGTGTGGTAGACTCACCCTTGCATCTTCCTTGTCAGGAGGTGGGTGTGGTAGACTCACCCCTGCATCTTCCTTGTCAGGAGGTGGGTGTGGAAGACTCATCCTTGCATCTTCCTTGTCAGGAGGTGGGTGTGGTAGACTCACCCCTGCATCCTCCTTGTCAGGAGGTGGGTGTGGTAGACTCACCCCTGCATCTTCCTTGTCAGGAGGTGGGTGTGGTAGACTCACCCCTGCATCCTCCTTGTCAGGAGGTGGGTGTGGTAGACTCGCCCCTGCATCCTCCTTGTCAGGAGGTGGGTGTGGTAGACTCACCCCTGCATCTTCCTTGTCAGGAGGTGGGTGTGGTAGACTCACCCCTGCATCTTCCTTGTCAGGAGGTGGGTGTGGTAGACTCACCCCTGCATCTTCCTTGTCAGGAGGTGGGTGTGGTAGACTCACCCCTGCATCTTCCTTGTCAAGAGGTGGGTGTGGTAGACTCACCCCTGCATCTTCCTTGTCAGGAGGTGGGTGTGGTAGACTCACCCCTGCATCTTCCTTGTCAGGAGGTGGGTGTGGTAGACTCACCCCTGCATCTTCCTTGTCAGGAGGTGGGTGTGGTAGACTCACCCCTGCATCTTCCTTGTCAGGTAGGTGGGTGTGGTAGACTCACCCCTGCATCTTCCTTGTCAGGAGGTAGGTGTGGTAGACTCACCCCTGCATCTTCCTTGTCAGGAGGTAGGTGTGGTAGACTCACCCCTGCATCTTCCTTGTCAGGAGGTGGGTGTGGTAGACTCACCCCTGCATCTTCCTTGTCAGGAGGTAGGTGTGGTAGACTCACCCCTGCATCTTCCTTGTCAGGAGGTAGGTGTGGGGTGTTACACTCCCCAAGGAAACCTCAAATATTTCTGCACATATGAAAAATCCAAGTTAATAATGTTCCATTTCCATAGGTAGTTCTTAACAGGTTAATGAAACATGACGTTCAGTGGTGATAAGGTCCAGCTGCTTACGTATGAAAAGAAAGAAAAACTCAAAAGGAACACTATATACAAAACTCAAGAGGGTCAACGAATAGAACGTAAGGAACACGTAAAAGACCTGGGAATAATTATGTCAGTTGACCTTACTTTTAGAGACCATAACAAGACAAAGATCACGACAGCCAGGAAGATGACGGGGTGGGTATTGAGAACTTTCAAAACAAGGGAAATAATGCCAATGGTGACTCTTTTCAAATCACTAGTGTTCCCTCACTTAGAATATTACTCAGTGCTGATGGCTCCGTTCAAAGCAGGAAAAATATCGGAGCTGGAACAAATATAAAGATCTTTGCAGCTCACATTGAGCCAGTAAAGCACCTAAACTACAAGTCTTGAACTTGTATTCATTGGAGTGGAGGAGAGAGAGATACACGATAATATATACCTGGAAAGTACTCGAGGGCCTGGTCCCAAATCTGCACACTGCCATAACATCATACTGGAGTGAGAGATATGGGAGGAAGTGTAAAATAAACCCAGTGAGGAGCACAGATGTGATGGGGACAATAATTGAACACTGTAACAACATTCGGGGTCCCAGACTATTCAACATCTTACCAGAAGATATCAGAAACACGGCTGGAACAAGTGTAGAAGCCGTCAAGAGGAAACTGAACAAGTATCTTCGCCAGGTGCCAGCTCAACCAGGCTGTGATGATATGTGGGGCAGCGGGCCTCCAGCAGGAGCAGCCTGGTTGACAGGGCTAACACCAGACGAGCCTGGCCATGGCCGGGTTCAGAGAGTGGATTAACTCTCGAAACTCTTCAAAGGTATTCTTCGTTTATAAAGTGGTGCAAAATACCACTAGAATGTGCACTCTGAGACCTTAGTGTGCATACATAACTCGTCTACATTAAGGCGGCAGTAGAGTGCTAGCCAAAAATTGCAGACCAGTAGCACTAGTATCGTTACTGGTCTGCTTTGGCTATGGGAAGAAATAAGAAGTAATGGTACAAAAACAAAATACCGACACAGGATAAAGACACCAATGCAATATAATGTGATTCTTTACTGACAGTATTTCTCCCCACAGTGGGCTTTATTGAGTCACAAACTTGTGACTTGTTAAAGCTCACTGTGTGGGCGAAACGTTTTCAATAAAGGATCGCATTATATTGCAACCGTATCTGTATCCCGAGTGATGAGATGCTAAATTACAAATTTTATGGAGCAACACAACCCAAACCAGTATGAATTTAAACCCGGAAGACATGTTTGTCTCGGATACTAAGTCACTGTAGCAAAATTATGGAGGCATTGAAAAAAATGCAGATATGGTGTATATGGATTTTGCAAAGGCTTTTGACATATGTTATCATGGGATGACTGCACACCAAAAAAGTGGTCGTAAACTGAGCAAAATCTAGCATTAGCGAGGTAAAAAGTTCTGTACTTCAAGGAATGGTCCTGTACCTTTAGTGTTTATCCTCATAGCGGACATAGATAAAATCCACTCGACTCAGTGATCTTTTACAGCCTTCATAGAGCCAGTAAAGCATTTAAATTACTGGGAACGCCTTAGTCTTAAATATGTACTCACTGGAGCAGAGGAGAGAGGGAAACATAATATTTACCTGGAAAGTACTCAAGAGCCTGGTCCCAAATCTGCACACTTCCATAACAACATACTGGAGTGAGAGATATGGGAGGAAGTCGAAAATAAACCCAGGTGTGCGGTGGGCACAACAAGGGAACACTGTATCAACATCCGTGCCCCAGATTATTCAAAATCTTACCAAAAGATATAAACACTGCTGGAACAAGTGTAGAAGTTTTCAAGAGGAAGCTGGACAAGTATCTTCACCAGATGCCAGATCAACCAGATTGTGATGGATATGTGGCGCAGCAGGCCTCCAGCAGGAGCCGCCTGGTTGGCTGGGCTAGCACCAGACGAGCCTGGCCTATGGCCGGGCTCAGAGAGTAGAAAGACTCTTGAAACTCATCAAAGGTGTATGTAGAAGAGACTGAAAAATGCAAGAAGATATAAGCAAAGTTTTTCAGTAAGCAGTGAAAATAACATGACTTAGTGGTGACAAGTTCCAGCTTATTAGATACGGAAAGAATGAAGAACTCAAAAGGAACACGATATAAAAGACAAGAGAAGCACCAAACAATGAAAGAAACATGTGAGGGATTTGGGTTTACTGTCGTCTGACCTTTTTTCAAAGAACACAATAAGGCAAATGTCACGACAGCCAGAAAATAATGATGTGGATAATGAGGACTTTCAAAACAAGGTATATGATGCCAGAGGTAGCACTTGAAATCGTACTGCTTAGTGTCGATGACTTCATTCAGGGCAGGAGAGATATCACAGCTAGAACAGGCTCAAAGATCGTTTGTGGCCTGCATAGAGCCATTAAAGCATTTAAATTACTGGGAACACCTCAGAGTCCTGAATATGTACTCAATGGAGTGCAGAGAGAGAAGAGAGAGAGAGAGAGAGATACATGATAATATATATATTGATCTAGTATAAGTCTTCGTTGGCTGGGGCGGTGCAGTAGTAAGCATATTGGCTTTGTAATTTTAAGACTGCTGTGCCACTGGTTGTATCCTGACTGCTTCTTTTCGTTCATAATCATGTTTTTAAGATTTATCTAGTCAGCTCAGTAAGAGATAATAGTTACTGAATGTTTGGATTGAGAGAGGAAAACAAAGAAAGGAGCACTAATTAGTTCACAGATAATACGGTACAAACTCTGTTGTATATAAAACTGAGAGAAGGAATGATAGCTTTCACGACATTGTATGTTTAGTGATGGATGAATTGAAACTTAAAATTGAAACCGTCTTCATAATATAATTTGTTCTGGTCATTTCCTTGAAGATGTTAAAAGATAAAGTATACCAGTGATGCATTACAGAATACTTAAGCACTACATAACAATCAACTATTAACAAACTGTATCTACAGCGACACAATCACAGTCATCCACCTCAGCCTAATAGGCCAACATCATCACTTTCCAAACTTCCATTGGAGAAGAATTCATTACTAGATTGTATTACCATAAGTTATACTGTACAAATTTTTATTTAATCTAATATTACAGCAGATTGTTTGAGAAATTTGTAGGTATCTGAACGTAACTCTATTTTTTAATTTCGTGTGACGTTACTTTACATTACACTGTTATTTTTCAGGAATGTAACTCATGCTTTATAAGAGGAGTTCACTGTATCATAGGTTACTTGCCAGCTGCATCTTAAAGTCTTATATTGTATATACCAACAGTGAATACTCTTCGTTGAAGCCAGAGAACGTCTTGGAGAACAATGCATTGGCCTTCCGTATAGCTGAGCAACAACTTGGCATTCCTGCACTCTTGGACGCCGAGGATATGGTGGAGAATGATGTACCTGATCGACTCTCAGTTTTAACATACGTGTCCCAATATTACCAGGCCTTTGCTGCACTGGGCCTCACTAATACCAAGCGTGTTGTCAACAATGCTGTTCCTCAGGCCGTTCCTGCTGGAACAATCAAGACCAGAAATACTCCTCCTCTGCAGCGGAAGAACAAGCCAGAGATCAAGTCAGATAAGGTACGTAACTCTCACCTTTCTTGACCATTAGTGGGAACTTAGGGTGAAAAATTACTATGACGTATTATGGTATTGTTTTTGTGGCGTTATTATCTGTACGGGTGAGTTATGTAGGTCGTACAGGACGTGGGTGAGTTCTGTAGGTCGTGCAGGATGCGGATGAGTTCTGTAGGTCGTGCAGGACGTGGGTGAGTTCTGTAGGTCGTGCAGGACGTGGATGAGTTCTGTAGGTCGTGCAGGACGTGGGTGAGTTCTGTGGCTGGATGAGTTCTGTAGGTCGTGCAGGACGTAGGTGAGTTCTGTGGCTGGATGAGTTCTGTAGGTCGTGCAGGACGTGGGTGAGTTCTGTGGCTGGATGAGTTCTGTAGGTCGTGCAGGACGTGGGTGAGTTATGTGGCTGGATGAGTTCCGTAGGTCGTGCAGGACGTGGGTGAGTTCTGTGGCTGAAGTGATAGCTTCATACCAGGGGTCTTTTATGCCCCCAGTCCCATTAATGAGAACTCAAGGAATTTTCCTGGGGGCCCCAGACCAGTTGACAAATTCTTAATGAATTTTGGGGGGGCCTCCCCAGAGGCATTAATGAGGGCTCAGGTAATTCTCCTGGGGATTCGAGGACGATTAATGAGGTCTCATGGAACTTACCTGGGCCCCTCCCCCCGGAACTTACCAGGGGGCCCCATAGTCGTTAATGAGGGCTCAGGGAACTTATTTGGGGTCCCCAGGGATATTATTCTAAGAAGGACAGTAAACTACTTTTTATAATTCTCGCTGTGACTCCTTCAGCACCGACGAGTGTGACAATTTGTTATCTTGTTACTGAATGATTGTTGATGTATACCTCTGAGGTGTGGGGGATACCTGCTGCTTTTCCTTTCAGGTGAGTGTGTGGTGTGTGAGGGATACCAGCTGCTGCTGCTGTCAGATGTGTGTGGTATGACGGTTGCCTGCTGCTGCTGTCAGGAGTGTGTGTGGTGTGAGGGTTGCGTGCTGCTGCTCTCAGGTGTGAGGGTTCCCTGTTGCTGCTGCTCTCAGGTGTGAGGGTTCCCTGCTGCTGCTGTCAGATGTGTGTGGTGTGACGGTTGCCTAATGCTGCTGTCAGGTGTGTGTGGTGTGACGGTTGCCTACTGCTGCTGTCAGATGTGTGTGTGGTGTGAGGGTTGCGTGCTGCTGCTCTCAGGTGTGAGGGTTCCCTGTTGCTGCTGCTCTCAGGTGTGAGGGTTCCCTGCTGCTGCTGTCAGATGTGTGTGGTGTGACGGTTGCGTGCTGCTGCTGTCAGATGTGTGTGGTGTGACGGTTGCCTGCTGCTGCTCTCGGGTGTGAGGGTTCCCTGTTGCTGCTGCTCTCAGGTGTGAGGGTTGCCTGCTGCTGCTCTCAGGTGTGAGGGCAGCCTGCTGCTTCTGCTGCTGCTCTCAGGTGTGAGGGTTGCCTGCTGCTGCTGCTCTCAGGTGTGAGGGTTGCCTGCTGCTGCTCTCAGGTGTGAGGGTAGCCTGCTGCTGCTCTCAGGTGTGAGGGTTGCCTGCTGCTGCTGCTCTCAGGTGTGAGGGTTGCCTGCTGCTGCTGCTCTCAGGTGTGAGGGTTGCCTGCTGCTGCTGCTCTCAGGTGTGAGGGTTGCCTGCTGCTGCTCTCAGGTATGAGGGTTGCCTGCTGCTGCTGCTCTCTGGTGTGAGGGTTGCCTGCTGCTGCTGCTCTCTGGTGTGAGGGTTGCCTGCTGCTGCTCTCAGGTGTGAGGGTTGCCTGCTGCTGCTCTCAGGTGTGAGGGTTGCCTGCTGCTGCTCTCAGGTGTGAGGGTTGCCTGCTGCTGCTCTCAGGTGTGAGGTTGCCTGCTGCTGCTCTCAGGTGTGAGGGTTGCCTGCTGCTGCTCTCAGGTGTGAGGGTTGCCTGCTGCTGCTCTCAGGTGTGAGGGTTGCCTGCTGCTGCTCTCGGGTGAGGGTTGCCTGCTGCTGCTCGCAGGTGTGAGGGTTGCCTGCTGCTGCTCTCGGGTGAGGGTTGCCTGCTGCTGCTCGCAGGTGTGAGGGTTGCCTGCTGCTGCTCTCGGGTGAGGGTTGCATGCTGCTGCTGCTCGCAGGTGTGAGGGTTGCCTGCTGCTGCTCTCGGGTGAGGGTTGCCTGCTGCTGCTCGCAGGTGTGAGGGTTGCCTGCTGCTGCTCTAGGGTGAGGGTTGCCTGCTGCTGCTCTCGGGTGTGAGGGTTGCCTACTGCTGCTGCTCGCAGGTACACTTGTGATCGTGCAAGAAGGGTAACACGGAACATTAAGTGGTACAATATTGATCAATATTGTTTAAGAAGATCAAGAGAAGCAAAAAAAGACACAAAAAACGAAACAAAACAAAACACTTAGAGATGGAAGATGAATAAAGAAGAGTAATATATTGATTGTTTACTGTTACCCCTGGCAACAACAGTCTGCTGTATCACTTATTATGTGGCCATGCATTGTTATGTAAGAATAATATGTAACAACGTGAAATAAGCGAATGACTTACACAAGGAGTGCTACAACCAGCACACTGAACAACAGTGCTACAACCAGCACACTGAACAACAGTGCTACAACCAGCACTCTGAACAACAGTGCTACAACCAGCACTCTGAACAACAGTGCTACAACCAGCACACTGAACAACAGTGCTACAACCAGCACTCTGAACAACAGTGCTACAACCAGCACATCTGAACAACAGTGCTACAACCAGCACTCTGAACAACAGTGCTACAACCAGCACTCTGAACAACAGTGCTACAACCAGCACTCTGAACAACAGTGCTACAACCAGCACACTGAACAACAGTGCTACAACCAGCACACTGAACAACAGTGCTACAACCAGCACACTGAACAACAGTGCTACAACCAGCACTCTGAACAACAGTGCTACAACCAGCACACTGAACAACAGTGCTACAACCAGCACACTGAACAACAGTGCTACAACCAGCACACTGAACAACAGTGCTACAACCAGCACACTGAACAACAGTGCTACAACCAGCACACTGAACAGTGCTACAACCAGCACTCTGAACAACAGTGCTACAACCAGCACACTGAACAACAGTGCTACAACCAGCACACTGAACAACAGTGCTACAACCAGCACACTGAACAACAGTGCTACAACCAGCACTCTGAACAACAGTGCTACAACCAGCACTCTGAACAACAGTGCTACAACCAGAACTCTGAAACAACAGTTGCTACAACCAGCACACAGAACAACAGTGCTACAACCATCACACTGAACAACAGTGCTACAACCAGCACACTGAACAACAGTGCTACAACCAGCACTCTGAACAACAGTGCTACAACCCAGCACACTGAACAGTGCTACAACCCAGCACACTGAACAACAGTGCTACAACCAGCACACTGAACAACAGTGCTACAACCAGCACACTGAACAACAGTGTCACAAACCAGCACACTGAACAACAGTGCTACAACCAGCACTCTGAACAACAGTGCTACAACAGCACACTGAACAACAGTGCTACAACCAGCACACTGAACACAGTGCTACAACCAGCACACTGAACAACAGTTGCTACAACCAGCACACTGAACAACAGTGCTACAACCAGCACACTGAACACAGCAGTGCTGACAACCAGCACACTGAACAACAGTGCTACAACCAGCACACTGAACAACAGTGCTACAACCAGCACACTGAACAACAGTGCTACAACCAGCACTGAACACAGTGCTACAACCAGCACACTGAACAACAGTACTACAACCAGCACACTGAACAACAGTGCTACAACCAGCACACTGAACAACAGTGCTACAACCAGCACACTGAACAACAGTGCTACAACCAGCACACTGAACAACAGTGCTACAACCAGCACTGAACACAGTGCTACAACCAGCACACTGAACAACAGTGCTACAACCAGCACACTGAACAACAGTGCTACAACCAGCACACTGAACAACAGTGCTACAACAACAGCACACTGAACAACAGTGCTACAACCAGCACTGAACACAGTGCTACAACCAGCACACTGAACAACAGTGCTACAACCAGCACACTGAACAACAGTGCTACAACCAGCACACTGAACAACAGTGCTACAACCAGCACACTGAACAACAGTGCTACAACCAGCACACTGAACAGTGCTACAACCAGCACTCTGAACAACAGTGCTACAACCAGCACTCTGAACAGTGCTACAACCAGCACACTGAACAACAGTGCTACAACCAGCACTCTGAACAACAGTGCTACAACCAGCACTCTGAACACAGTGCTACAACCAGCACACTGAACAGTGCTACAACCAGCACTCTGAACAACAGTGCTACAACCAGCACTCTGAACAACAGTGCTACAACCAGCACTCTGAACAACAGTGCTACAACCAGCACTCTGAACAACAGTGCTACAACCAGCACTCTGAACAACAGTGCTACAACCAGCACTCTGAACACAGTGCTACAACCAGCACACTGAACAACAGTGCTACAACCAGCACTCTGAACAACAGTGCTACAACCAGCACTCTGAACAACAGTGCTACAACCAGCACTCTGAACACAGTGCTACAACCAGCACTCTGAACAACAGTGCTACAACCAGCACTCTGAACAACAGTGCTACAACCAGCACTCTGAACAACAGTGCTACAACCAGCACTCTGAACAACAGTGCTACAACCAGCACTCTGAACAACAGTGCTACAACCAGCACTGAACACAGTGCTACAACCAGCACTCTGAACACAGTGCTACAACCAGCACTCTGAACAGTGCTACAACCAGCACTCTGAACAACAGTGCTACAACCAGCACTCTGAACAACAGTGCTACAACCAGCACTCTGAACAACAGTGCTACAACCAGCACTCTGAACAACAGTACTACAACCAGCACTCTGAACAACAGTGCTACACCAGCACTCTGAACAACAGTGCTACAACCAGCACTCTGAACAACAGTGCTACAACCAGCACTCTGAACAACAGTGCTACAACCAGCACTCCGAACAAC